ACTAGAACAAGGCATACAAGGGAATATAATCTAATGGGTTGTACTCCCCAAGGCACAACCCTATATAGTCTACAACAACATAGACTGGATAGGGGCAGGGCCCAATGAGAGAGAAACAGCTCAAGGTGGCACTACTAGTCCAGCCTCTGAGGCAGCGGTCTAAAGACCAGTCAAACAAGTACAGAAATGGCAAGAGCAAGACCAGCGTGGCACTACTAGTCCAAGACCAGCCACTGGGAAGAGGCCACAAGACCAGTCAAGGTAATATATATAAAGGTCTGTACACAATCAAGGTCCTAGCAAGCGAGATGCTACAGGAACGAGACCTAGCTGTACATAGTGCCGCTAATGATCTTTAGGCGCAAGCGCCTTAGGAAAGATATCAGCTGTGTTGGCACCTGAGGCCAAGTGTACTACACGAGCCTGGCGACGCTGCTGCAGCTCGCGCAGGAGGAAGTACCGCAGCTGGATGTGCTTCGCTCTGCCCTCAAGTCGTGGCTCCTGACACAGGAGGATCATGGCCCTGTTGTTAGCGTACAGAACCAGGGCAGAGCTAGGCTGCTCACCCAAGTCGGTGAGCAAGAGGGTCAGCTAGCGGAGCTCCCGTGCCGCCATGGTGCCAGCGTAGATCACAGCATCACAGCTAGACTCGGCAACAGACGAGAAACGGGTGGACCTCCACGAGATGGCACCTGCACCAAGGCTAAAGGAGTAGCCCTGCGTCATCTGCCCAAGAAGGGTCTGTGTGCCCGGTAAGGACCACTGGTCTCCGTCCTCCTAGCACTAGCCCCATGCCCGATGTACTTGCTAGATAACGCAAAACCCTCTTAGCTGCCGACCAGTGCTGTGGTCGGTGTCTGCGTGGGGCCACAAAGCAAGCCAGGAGGCTGAGAGGGTATGCGAGATCTGGACGAGTGCAAGTCATCAAGTACATGAGGCAACCCACCAGCTCTACGTAGGGACCACTAGGCTCTACAGCCTCCTCAGGGACTGGGGCAGAGAGTCTGTGGTCTACTGACAGAACGATGGGCTGTGCGGAAGAGAACTGAGGCCGAACCCCTAAAGGACCTGGCGCACCAAGTATGACTGTGAGAGAGTGATGGTGCACGCGGCTCTGTCCCTGGAGATCTGCAAGCCAAGGTAGCGGCGCAGCTCTCCTAGGTCAGTGAAGGTGTGTCTCCTCACCTGCTCCGCCTTCACGGCGGCCAGTGCGTCTTTGTCTGCAGTAGCAAAGACCAGCTCACGTAGACAAGGATGTAGAACGGAGTCTGGCCGGAACGGACAAAGAGCGAGGGGTCTGCAGACAAAGGAAAGGACTGCAAGTCAGCAAGTGTAGCACGCAGCGTGTCGTGCCACTCACGGGGCGCCTGTCGCAAGCCGTAGACGGGGCGCCGGAGGAGCCACTCGGTGCCAGGGGGGAAGGTACCGGCGAAGCCCTTGGGGCGGCGCAGGTAGACCTGCTCGTGTAGACTGCCCTGGAGGAAAGCTGTGGAGAAGTCGAGGGAGTGCAGCTCGTAGTCACGCTGTGCTACTACGAGTAGCAACGGCCGAAGAGTGGTCATCTTCGGGGCGAAGAAGTCCACCCCCTCACACTGACTGAAGCCTCGAGCGACGTAGCGTGCCTTGAACACATGCGGCTCTCTAGGAGGGCGCTTCACCTTGAAGAGCCAGCGGCCATCGACTACGTTCACCCCAGGTGGGGAAACTGCGTCGACGAAGGTACCGGTGGATCTCCAAGATGTCATCTCCTGCTCCATGGCAGCTATCCACTGAGAGGCCCACGGTCCCGAGGTGGCGTCAGCGTAGGTGCGAGGGGTCGGGATGTCGAGGGCGTCTGGGTCACCGTCAAGGACTAGTAGCATGGAACAGAGATGGGGAGCTGCCACAGACAGGAAAGAGAGCTCGAACTGGCGGTCCTCCAGGACGTCACTGCCGAGGGCAGGAGCACCCCCGACAGACGGAGGACAGGCAGGGTCAGAGACCAGAGCGGTGGTGTGGTCCAGGTGGCGGGTAGCGGCAAAGTCAGTGACAGCAGCGACAAGAGGCGAGAGACTCGAGACAGGAGCGGACGGGTTTGTAACGAGAGAGGCAAGGACAAAAGGAACAAGGGGACGCATAGCAGAGAGGAAGTCCAAGAACGGAGGGGGGGCCACAGCAAGCGATGACGGAGGAGGAGACGGGAGGAGAGGAGGAGCACGAGACGCGTGAGAGCGCAGCAACATAGGGTAAGAACGTAGAACATGGGAGGTAGGATGAGCACGAGATGGACGAAGAGACCAGAGAGGATTCAGGGTGAGGAAACATGACGCCGTGGACCGGCAGAGGAAGAGGCGGCGGCAGCGGGGAAGGCAGCAACGGGCGGTCAGGGGAAGGGAGACCGAGGAGGCAAAGAGCGGAAACCGGCGGCGACAGCTGCAACTGCTATCCGACTCCAACACTCGAACCTCCAGCGACAACACGGCTCCCTCCAAGAAGCCCCACGCCAGCACCCCCAGAGCCCGCTCCAGAACCAGCTCGAGCCCACTCCCCAGCACCCCCAAAACGCACGAACCCCAGCGGCGGTAGCGACAGCGGCTGCGGCTGCGGCGGCAGCGGCGGAGGCCGTGCTGTGGGGACAGCAGCGGCGGCGACAGGGGAGGCGAGACCGGGGCAGGGACAAGCGGGGGAAGAGAATCCGCCGAACCACGAGAATCAGCGGACTCCTCAGCAGGGACAACCGACGGAAGGGGGGTGACGTGAGACACACCAGACGGGGCAGGGCGGGGAGGGGGGAGGACCAGGTCGACCGGGGGAGGGGGGGCCACCAGGAACTGGGGGGGGAGTGACCGGGGGACCATGGTAGGGAAAACGGTGGTAGAAGGAGACGGACTCGTCAAAAGTGACGTCACGATAGTGAAAGAACCGGTGAGAAGGCGGGTGGTAGAGCTGCCAGTCCGACGAGTCGAGGGGGAAACCTAGGAAGACATAGGGGACAGTGCGGGAAGTGAGCTTGTCCGTGCCAGAGGCACGAACGTGTGCAAGGCAACCCAAGATGTGGAACGCAGACGCGTCACCAGTGGACCCGGTCCAGAGGAGGGTCGGCAAAACTTGCGACCGCTGAGGGTGCGGCCAGAGGTTAAGTTGGTGAGCGGCATAGCAAACGGCGAACGACCACAGAAAATGGGGTGCACTGGCATGGACCATGGAGGTATGAGCCACCTCTATGACCACACCGATGCGTCGCTCAGTGACCCCATTCTGCCGCGGGGAGTCCGGCAAGGTGAACGTCTGGGTGATGCCCTCCGCACGACAGAAGCGACCAAGGTAGCCAGAGGCAAACTCGCGACCACGGTCGGAGTGAAGACGCAAGACAGGGAGACCTCGGTGAACACGCGCAGAGTCAAGCCATGAGAGAAGAACGTCAGGCATGTCGGCCTTCCGCTCCAGGGGAAAGATGGTTGTGTAGCGGGTGTAGTCGTTAACAAGCACTAGGAAGTAGTGCTTGCGACGCGGCCCATGGACGGGGACGGTGCCCCACATGTCCATGTGCAGGGTCTCCAGCGGTGCGGAGGTAGGGGGGAACGAGGAGGAGTGAGGGGCACGGCGGAGCTGGCCCTCGATACAGGGCATGCACGAAAGCGTGGGTGAGGAGGGGAGCGCAGGGAACGACTCAAGGAGGCCTATGACAAGACGGTGCTGGGACATGTGACGGAGACGAGTGAGGGCGGGGTGACCTAGACGGTGGTGCCACGGAAGTGTCGGGTGAGTAAACGACCGACACGAGCACGCCGCAGCAACCAGGGAAGACGTAGGTACCTGGGGAGGCGTCCCAACCGGGGGGGAAGCAGTGTCCGGCGTGAACAGGCCAGACACTGGGTCTCGGGGGAACGTGGTGAGGGGGGCACCAGTGGTGGCCTCAGTACAGACAGCGTACCGCTCGTGCCCAGGGAACGTAGTGGTGACGCCAAGGTCCTGGAGGCAGCCGACACCAACTTCGTTCCTAGAGAACGAGGGCATGTGCAGGCCTGTAAGGGAGCTTGAGGGAACCGCCGGACAGGGGAGAGTGTTGGAGCTACGTGCAACTAAAGATGGGGCCACGGGGCCGCTAGGGGACGGGGCCGTGGAGCCGCCAGGTGACGGGGCCGCTAGGGGACGGGTCCGCGGGGCTGCTAGGGGACGGGGCCGAGGGGTCGCGAGGTGATGGGCCGTGGGGCGACGAGGCGGCTAAGACCTAGGGCGGAAGCGCTAGGGGGGGGGGGGGGGGGAGGGGGGGGACCTACCTACTCATGATACCATGTTCAAGTGAAAGAATGACTAGAACAAGGCATAGAAGGGAATATAACCTAATGGGTTGTACTCCCTAAGGCCCAACCCTATATAGTCTACAAAAATATACAATATATATTTGACAGTATGCGCTGTAGTCTAGGCCAGTAAGGGAAAGGGAATTTCATTACATATACGGTATCATCTATGACATAAATTTCATCAATTGTCTGCACAATCATCTGTAGTATATATGTTGAAAGAGACGATAGCTTGCTGGATTTTTTAGACTTATTAGATACATGAGAATGTGATTTAACCATGTTATATCAACTATAATACATGGGAAGTTGGGTGAGAAATGTGGCCCAAGCACAAATGGTCAGCTACAAGCCATGAAGATAAGAAATTTCAAAGCTGGGCATAGAAGGGAGTGTGTAACATGTTCGCTCACGACAGTCGCGACAGGATCACCAATGTCGCAAACCCCTCTCAGGCAGGGTGAGGTGGTTCTGTGATAAATGCACAGCAACAATAATTTCGCGCCTCGAGCCCAACTTTAGTCTCCTTTCACCACCCATAATTGTGCAGACTGGTTTTGCAACGTCCTACTGGGAGCGACGTCGCCATAATCCGCATCGCATCCACTCTTCCCTGCGCCTCGCCCCCCCTGAACCCGCTAGTCGCGTTTCCCCGTCGCAGCGACTAATCGTGATATAAAAGCCAGCTCGTCCCGTTTCATGACCATCCAACGTTGGCTCATTCCCATCTCATCTAAGTGACTCAAAAAACTTCTCTTGAGTTTGACAGCCGTTTTTTGCTGGAACATCTGGAAGACTCTCCATCCGCCAAGCAATCTTCCTCGATCAGCTGGAACTACCATTACTACTAGTAGAGTAACGAGGCACGAGGCAAGAGTAACGAGGCAACAAGCAGCATGGCTCGGTTCCCCGTCTTCGTTACTCTCGCGGTTCTTGTCGCTTTCGTCCTCGCGCTCTCCTATTGCACGCCTGCCGACGGCCAGCTCGTAATTCCATTGAAAGGTGCGCTGATGGTGTGTCTGAACCTTTGAATGACCGAACCGCCAATGGTGGTCCCATCTGAAGTATGCTGATTGATTCCTTGACTGCCTCTCAGTGGCCTCTACTAAAAGAGACAGAGTCAGAAGTGCGCTTAGGTTTTTTAATCGGCGCAACAATCCCTTGTGTGCTCGAAACTGTGATCTGGAATGTGCAGGTGTTGTAACGAAGCGACCTGCAAGTGGAATGAGGCGGCTGCTCGACGATCATCATGATGACCATCACGAAGATCATGATGACGACCGCAAGGATCATGATGACCATCACGAGGATCATGATGACGACCACAAGGATCATGATGACCATCATGACGATGACGATCACAAGGATCACGACGACAGCGACAGCGACTTGAAAAAATGCACCAAAAGTTACAAATCCGCCGTGAAGAAGTGCAGGGACAAGAACGAGAAGAGCACGTGCGAAGCGAAGGCTTATAAGGCGTACAAAAAGTGCCGGAAGCATTAGTGCAAGTAGCAGTGCGACGCGAAGAGGAGGGAGTGCAAGGAGAAGGGGCGAGAAGGATTGCGGCAAGAAGCGGACGAAGTGCCGCGAAAAGTGCGGCTAGATGCCAATGTTAGTCACGGAACTAATGAGGTGGTCCAGGATAGTAACAAGTTGGCTAATAAGAGACCATCATGGTGGCGGGTCATTGAGCAATGCATGAGAGGGATGCTGAAGCAGCGTAGGGCGGTGAATGCCTCTACTCGTAAATCCGTGCAAATACGTGTAAATGGAGGGAATGACGACAGAGTTTGCTTTCTTGTTTCGGATTCCTTTCGGAGTGACATATCCGCGCCCCCCTGCTCGAGCACAACCCCAATTCCTTTTGGAGGAAACATCCGCGAGGGAGAATGTACACTTTCTGACTTCTGCTGTTACACTTACGGGAAGGAAAAAAATAAAACCCATATGGTCCCGCATATCATTATGGAGCACCGCCATTACGAGCTTGCTTTCCTGTCCGAGGCTGCTCCCCATCTCTGTTTCATACTTCTAGTCCCTGAGGGTGACCCCGACGCTTTCGACATCCCGACCCCTCGCACTTACGCTGAGGCGGTTTCGGGACCCTGGGCCTATCAGTGGATAGCTGCCATGGAGCAGGAGATGGCATCTTGGAGATCCACCGGCACCTACGTCGACGCAGTTCCCCCACCTGGGGTGAACGTAGTCGATGTCGATGGCCGCTGGCTCTTCAAGGTGAAGCGCCCCCCTAGAGAGCCGACTGTGTTCAAGGCGCGCTACGTGGATAGAGGTTTCAGTCAGCGTGAAGGGGTGGACTTCTTCCAGACCTGCGCTCCGACCCCGAAGATGACTACTCTTCGGGTGCTACTATACGTAGCAGCGCAGCGTGACTACGAGCTTCACTCCCTTGACTTTTCCACTTCGTTTCTTCAGAGCAGTCTACACGAGGTCTACTTGCTACGCTTGCTGACCTGCAGTTCTTTCCGTCCTCTGCAGACCCCTCGCTCTTCGTTCGTACTGGCCAGACTCCGTTCTACATTCTTGTTTACGTAGACGACCTGGTCTTCGCCACGGCAGACAAGTACGCACTGGCCTCCGTAAAGGCAGAGCTGCTGAAGAGACACACCTGCACTAACCTTGGAGAACTGCGCCACTACCTTGGCTTGCAGATCTCCAGAGACAGAGCAGCCCGCACCATCACTTTGACTCAATCACACTTGGTGGGCCAGGTCCTTCAGAGGTTCGGCCTTCAGTTCTCCTCCGCACAGCCTACTCTTCTGCCTCTAGACCACAGGCTTTCCGCTCCAGTTCCTGAGGAGTCAGCAGAGCCCAGGGGTCCTTACGCAGAGCTGGTGGGTTGCCTCATGTACCTGATGACTTGCACGCGCCTAGATCTCGCATACCCTCTCAGCATTCTGGCTCGCTTTGTGGCTACAGGCAGACACCAACCTCAGCACTGGTCTGCTGCTAAGAGGGTTTTGCGTTATCTTGCAAGTACATCGGGCATGGGGTTAGTGCTAGGAGGACGTAGGCCAGTGGTCCTTACTGGACACACAGACGCTTCTTGGGCAGACGACGCTGAGACCCTCAGGTCCTGACAGGGCTACTGCTTCAGCCTTGGTTCAGGTGCCGTGGAGAGCTACCCGTGGAGAGCTACCCGCTCCTCGTTTGTTGCCCAGTCCAGCTGTGAGGCCGAGATCTACGCCGGTGCCATGGCGGTACAGGAGCTCCGCTGGCTGACCTTCTTGCTCACTGACTTAGGTGAGCGGCCTAGCTCAGCCCCAGTCCTGTACGCTGACAACAGGGCCATGATCCTCCTGTGTCACGAGCCTCGACTCGAGGGCAAAGCGAAGAATATTCAGCTGCGGTACTTCCTCCTGCGTGAGCTGCAGCAGCGTCGCCAGGCGCGCGTAGTACATTTGGCCTCTGGTGCCAACACAGCTGATATCTTTACGAAGGCGCTTGCGCCTAAAGATCATCAGTGGCACTGTGTACAGCTGGGTCTCGTTCCTGTAGCCTCTCACTTGCTAGGGCCTTGACTTTTTACTGTCCTTTATATATATATTTTACCCAGTTTGGCCTTCTGGCCTCTCCCAGTGGTTGGACTAGTAGTGCCGCCCTGGGCTTGCTCTTGCCTTGTCTGTACTCCTTTTGACTGGTCTTTAGACCCTTGTCTCAGAGGCTTGACTAGTAGTGCCGCCCTGAGCTGCTTCTTCTCTTGTTAGGCACTGCCCCTATATAGTCTAGGGGGTGTGTCAAATGTTACTTAGGTCGTTACTGTAGACTATACTGGATTGTGCCTTAGAGGGTACAACACTCTAGTCTATATATCATTGTACACACACATTCTAGTTCAATCATTTTCTTTATGATATCTTCCTCTATCTTTCCCATCCCCTTCCCCCTCCTCCAGCTCCTCACCCCGGAAGTGGACTGCATGAAAATGTGGGAGCAAAGAAAAGAGCTATGAGTAATATCTCAAATGAGTAAGGCAAGTGAAAGCATGAAATAGCAAAGGAAAAGGCAAGTGAAAGCAAGCAACAACCAAGGAAAAGGCAAGCAAAAGCAAAGAACAGCCAAGGAAAAGGCAATCAAAGCCAAGCAACAGCTAAGGAAAAGGCAAGCGAAGCAACAGCCAAGGAAAAGGCAAGCAACAGCCAAGGGAAAGGCAAGCGAAAGCAAGCAACAGCCAAGGAAAAGGCAAGCGAAAGCAAGCAACAACCAAGGAAAAGGCAATCGAAAGCAAGCAACAGCCAAGGAAAGGGCAAGCAAAGCAACAGCCAAGGAAAAGGCAAGCAAAAACAAGCAACAGCCAAGGGAAAGGCAAGCGAAGGCAAGAAACAGCCAAGGAAAAGGCAAGCGAAAGCAACATCCAAGAAAAAGGCAAACGAAGCAACAGCCAAGGAAAAGGCAAGCGAGCAAGCAACAGCCAAGGAAATGGTAAGTGAAAGCAAGCAATAGTCAAAGAAAAGGCAAGCGAAAGCAAGCAGCAGCCAAGGAAAAGGCAAGCGAAAGCAAGCAACAGCCAAGGAAAAGGCAAGCGAAAGCAGGCAACAACCAAGGAAAAGGTAAGCGAAAGCAAGCAACAGCCAAGGAAAAGGCAAGCGAACGAAAGCAACAGCCGAGGAAAAGGCAAGCGAAAGCAAGCATTAGCCAAGGAAAAGGCAAGCCAATGCAAGCAACAGCCAAGGGAAAGGCAAGCAAAGGCAATCAACAACCAAGGAAAAGGCAATCGAAAGCAAGCAACAGCCAGGGAAAAGGCAAGCGAAGCAACAGCCAAGGAAAAGGCTAGAAAAAGCAAGCGACAGCCAAGGGAAAGGCAAGCAAAAGCAAGCAACAGGCAAGGAAAAGGCAAGCGAAGGCAAGCAACAACCAAGGAAAAGGCAATCGAAAGCAAGCAACGGCCAAGGAAAAGGCAAGCGAAGCAACAGCCAAGGAAAAGGCAAGCAAAAGCAAGCAACTGCCAAGGGAAAGGCAAGCGAAAGCAAGCAACAGCCAAGGAAAAGGCAAGCAAAAGCAAGCAACAGCCAAGGAAGAGGCAAGCGAACGAAGGCAACAGCCAAGGAAAAGGCAAGCGAAAGCAAGCAATAGCCAAGGAAAAGGCACGCGGACGCAAGCAACAGCCAAGGGAAAGGCAAGCGAAAGCAAGCAACAACCCAGAGAAAGGCAAGCGAAAGCAAGCAACAGCCAAGGAAAAGGCAAGCAAAAGCAAGCAACAGCCAAGGAAAAGGCAAGCGAAAGCAAGCAACAGCCAAGGGAAAGGCACGCGACATGCTACCAACAACCTAGCAAAAGCCGAGGAACAACCTAAGAGCCTGGCGCTAGCGAAGGCGCGCATGACCCTACCTTACATCGTGCAAAGTACCAGCACGCCAGGTGCGCATGGGGAGATGCAGCCAAGGAGCCGCAACCGCAGCAGCAGCAGCGGGCTGGTGGTCTCCCGCCCGGGTGGCCTGGGGCTGGTGGTGGCGGTGGACATGGTGGTCGTTCGTGAAGTGCGCCGTCGGGTGGTAGTTCGGGTGACCGGTCCTCGCCGCGGCTCCGTGTGGTCACACGGTCACACCCCCGCCCGCTGTTTTCATCGCCAGGACGACCTGTTTCGTTTTCGCTTCGGCCTAGTGTGATTGGTTCCTACTACCCCTTGTTGCCTAGTGTAGGTGTGCCTAGTTCGGCCTCCCCTGCTGCGTCAAGCGTAGGATCCCCTGCCTTGTTTAGTCTTGGCTCCTCCCTTGCCACTCCGACCTCGGCCGCCACTGCTGTGCTCTCCTTTACCCTGGACTCTGGCGCTTCCCAGTGTTTCTTTCGCGACTCCACTACGCTGACAACGCTTGCCACTCCCGCCGCAATTTCTCTTGCCGACCCCTCCTCAGGTCCGGTAGTCGCCCGTAGCTCCACCACCCTTCCCTGTCCGGCGGTTCCTTCGGGCTCTCTTACAGGCCTGCACATCCCCTCGTTCTCTAGGAACCTAGTTGGTGTTGGCTGCCTCCAGGACCTTGGCATCACCACTACGATTCCTCGTCACGAGCGGTACGCTGTCTGTACCGAGGCCGCCACTGGTGCTCCCCTCACCACATTCCCCCGGGACCCGGTGTCTGGCCTATTCATGCTGGACACCACGCCCCCCACGGTTGGGACATCTCCCAAGGTGGCTGCATCAACCCAGGTGGCTGCGTCTACCCAGGTTGCTGCAGCCTGCTCGTGTCGGTCGCTTACTCACCCGACACTTCTGTGGCACCACCGTCTAGGTCACCCCGCGCTCCCTCGTCTGCGTCACATGTCTTAGCACGGTCTTGTCCTAGGTATCCCACAGTTGTTCTCTGAGTTGCCCTCCTCCCCAGCGCCGCCGTGCATGCCCTACGTCGAGGGCCGGCTCCACCGTGCCCCTCACTCCTCTTTCCCCCCCACCGCTGCACCGCTACAGACCGTGCACATGGACGTCTTGGGCCCTACCCCCGTCCATGGGCCGCGTCGAGAGCGCTACTTCCTCGTGCTTGTCGACGACTACACGCGCTATACCACGGTGATTCTCCTGGAGCGGAAGGCCGACGTGCCTGACGCTCTTATCCCATGGCTGGTCTCTACGCGTGTGCATAGCGGTCTCCCACTCTTGCGTCTTCACTCCGACTGTGGGGGCGAGTTTGCCTCCGGCGTCCTTGGTCGAGTCTGTCGTGCGGAGGGCATCACCCAGACGTTCACCCTGCCGGACTCCCCGCAACAGAATGGGGTTGCTGAGCGACGCATCGGTTTGGTCATGGAGGTGGCTCGTACCTCCATGATCCATGCAGGTGCACCCCATTTTCTGTGGCCGATCGTCGTTCG